CGTTTTTGGCGTATTTTCTTACTGATATCCATATTGAGAGTGTTGACTCTCTACACCTGTTTAGAAGCTAGATTTTACATTGAGAATACTGGCTTTCTGTATCTATTTAGCTGGTAAGTTCTATATTAAGGATGTGGGTTATCTATGCCTCTTTAGATTCTAAAATTTATACTAATGATATCACCCTCTGTACCTGTTTGGGTGCCGAATTCTATATTGAGGTACTTACCTTTTTGCACCTATTTGGTTGTCTTTCAAGATATCGAAATAGTGTAAAAAAAGAGGTGCCTTAGGTGTCCTAGTAAAAAATAAAGTTCTTGGGAAAAAAATTGTATTTTTTTATAGGTAATCCTATAGCAAGTGCCAATATTTATATAATAGATTACGCACTTACCTACACTTGAACCACATCTGGGTTCATACTTGTGATAGAGTAGGTAAGTGCCAATATTTATATAATAGATTATGCACTTATCTACTCTCGAACCACACCCGGTTTATACTAGTGATAAGGTAGGTAAGTGCCAATATTTTTATAACAGGTTTCGCACTTATCTACTCTAAGTATTCAATATATCACGTATATCCATTTACCTTTCATTTACGTTTTGCTGACTAAGTTCGCGTGAAGGCTTCTTCCAATATTTTATATAATAATTCTGGAGAAGCCTTTATACCATATATGCCTGGATACATACCCGGGTATATATCATCACCCGCCATATCTGGATACATACCCGCAATAGAGTAGTCTTCTTCCATTATTTTATATAATATTTCTGAAAAAAACTACTCTAAGTATCACCTATTAAGAATGCACTTATTCCTTGTTTCAGAAGGCTATACTTTTTAGGGTATACCAAGTTGTATTTCTTTTATAATTTGCCAATGAAGTCTTACGTAGAGGCTATACCATACCCGAGTATATATTTAGATCGTATGTGGTATAAGTCTTCTGCCAATATTTATATAATAGAATACACAGAAGACTTATCTTCTGGATACATATCTCCTTGTCTTCCTTTTACAATTTGCTTACTAGCTTGCTATATGTCTCTTTTTTTCGAAGGATGAAAAAATTAATTAAACATTTCCGAATTTTATAAAGTACTATAAGTATTTTCAAACTAACAATATGCATACCTCGACTATTTCTGACCAATTTGATCACAGAACTCTCGCCTGCTATGATGGCGCCGAGACCATAGCTGGTGTTTCATCATGTAATGATATTGTGGCAGAATTCAATAATGGAACTACCCTTTTGATTCAACAAAGCCTATCTAGCAAACAGCCTATATATTTTATGTCTACTGAAGTTAGTAATAATACTGAATATATAAATGGGATCTCCACTTATATTTTGCATATCACTGGTACTTTGATTAATGGACAAAAAGCAGTTGTAAATATTACAGGTATCAAACTCTTTTTTGATGTCGAAGTACCTGAAAAGATGCTGTTATCTATGTTTAAAACCAAATTAGTAAAGATATTATCTAATATTCTTAATAGCATATCGAAGTTTGGGATTGAGACTATTAGTGCTTTCCCACTTCAAGGGTATCATACAGAAAAGAAACTATATATCCATGTGAGAACATGGAACCACTATGATCGGTATAATGTATTAAAAGCAGTCTATGCTGTTGGTATGTGTATAGCTTCAGATAATCTAAATTGTCAGTATTATTACCACAAAGTAGCCCGTGTAAAGAGGCTACCTCTTTCAAGCTGGGCAGTATTAAGCAACTATTCATATGCATCATTGGTAAATGCTTATCTTTTTCAAGTATCTGTAAATAATTACAACCCAATAAGTAAGAGTAATTATAATATTTCATTTTCCTCAGCGCTTTTATAGGACCGCACTCTTGTACTCACATAGGATATCGAAACATATAGCTCACAAAAAACAGGCGAGGTACCTAATACAAAATATGAAGAAGACACCATGTTTATGATTTGTATGACAGTTCACTGGAAAGATGATCCCTGACTGTTAAAACAAATCTGTCTCGTTGATATTGAAACTGCGCCAGACCCGCAATGGATTACAATCGTATATGGATCCCAGACCAATTTACTAAAAGTATTCGCAATGTGTTGGAAACTCTTAGCACCAGATATACAAATAGGCTTTAATGATTCACAATATGACTAGAAATTTATTGTGGAGAAGGCTAATAAATTAGGGGTTCTCGAATGGATGTTTAATCATATATCATTCAAGCCATCGAACCTAGAAAAAATTACAAAATAGCAATATCAGTACAATGTAATAAAAGTAAATGATAGGGACTTCTATTCTAAATATCTTAAAATTCCTGGATGCGTGGCTATTAACATCTGGTCTTGTTTTAAGAAATTTTATTCTAAGGCTAAAAAGAGTAGTTTAGCATTCTACTTAAAGAAATGTAAACTTGACAACAAACTAGATATGCCTTTCCATCGTATGTTTAAATATTATGGAAGGGCATTAAAAGAAACTAATACTACAACAGCCGAGCATATGCGTGAAGTAGCTGAATATTGTATTATCGATACTATTAGCTATCAGCAGTTAATGGTGAAGCATAATGTAATTAATGAATATAGGGAGGTTGTAAGCATAGCCTTTCTATCATTATTTGATGCACATTATTTTGCAGGAGGAATAAAAGTATGTAATCTCTTAAGTGCTAGTGCATAGCAGGAAGGAATTTTAACTAGTACAATTCTATGTGAGCAAATAGAAACAGGGAAATACCCTGGGGCCTATATTTTCTCACCAGTAAAGGGTCTCAAAAATAGATGCCCCGTAACTGGCTTAGACTTTGTATCATTGTATCCGAGTCTTATTCAGACTTACAACCTCTTACCTGATAAAATAATTTTATCTCAAAAGAATGCTAAAAAAAGTGGTAAAAGGCTCCATGAAATTAATTTTAAATTCATTAATCGGGATATTCTTGCATGGTCTATTCAGCATAATAACATTCCCGAAGAAAAAGGTCTCTATGTTAATATGCTAGAATATTTGTTTAGGAAGCAAATTGAAATAAAAAACCATCTTTCCCCTTTGAAAGTAAAAAAAGAAGATATGGGTCTAGTAAAAGGTTTATTAGGTAAAGGTTTATCATTGCCAGAAGCTACTAAAAGGGTTTTAGCTAACGCTGAAGAAGACAAACATGCCAGCATCAGCAAAAATTTATACTATTTTATTAATAAAGGAAAGTATAAATTCATGGCAGAATATGATTCTGTTTGTTTTGACTGCTCTTGCTTAGATGTGAAACAAAATACTCTTAAGGTATACATAAATACATTCTATGATGAGGCTGAAAATAGCATATCTCCTTTGTACTTGTGTGAACTTGCTGGAGGTGTCACTTTGGCTGGACAGAGAAACATCAAACTTGTTGCAGATTTTATTAAAAGCAAGGGCTTCAAGATAAAATATAAGGATACAGATTTTTTATATCTAGTCTGTTCAGAAGAATGCTTCCAGGAATGTGATGAGGCTTACAACAGTGGTGAGATCTCGAAAGAAGAGTATTGGTCTTGAATAGTAAAAATCTCTATGGAAGTAATGGAGAAACTTTGTGATAGGGTCAATGATTTTCTCAGGAAAGATAATGGATCACACTATCTCAAAATAGCATATGAAGAAGTTTTATTTCCAATAGTATTTATCGGAAAGAAGAAATACTATGGCATTCCACATATAAGCAAGCCAAACTTTAATAATGAGCTTTTCATTCGGGGGATTGAAATTGTAAAACGGGGACAGTCTAATCTTTTCCGCAAAATAGGAAAACGTATTATGGAAGAATCTACGAGAGTAAATGATACACGTACCTTGCATCAAATTGTAGAGGATGTGCTCAAAGAAACTGTAAAGGATATTTGGCAGATAGATCTTAATGAAATAATTAAAACTGCTATGTGGAAGCCTGATAAAAATAATAAGAGTGTATAGCGCTTCATTTCACGAATGTGAGATAGACATACCCGTGAAGTAGCGGACACCAAACGGCTCATAAAAAAAGGCCTAACACCGAGCCTTATCTTTATCAAATTTCAGAACCAGGTAAACACTTTGAATATGTTGTAGTTGAAAATGATTTATTACAGATAGTAGGAGATAAAATAGAGTATCCTAAGGTAGTAAAGCAATTAGGTAAAAAGATCGATATTAACTATTATCTGAAAAGTGTTGTTAGGCTCTGTGCACGTTTTATAAATTATGATGATCAATTCCAGCCATCATCTGAAACTTTGCTGAAAGCTTTAAAAAAGTTAAAAGATAATAATGAAACGGATAAGGATAAAGTGGATGGAGACGAAGTAGATGAAGACGATATGGATGAAGATGAGTTATCAAAAATAATAGCGCAGAAATCAGCTGAAAAGTGGGTTAAAGGATATATTAAAAACCTACATGAAAGTCCGAAAAAGGATGAAACTATCATATCCCATCTATGGAAAGAAGCACATATTTATGCGAAAAATTTATATGATACCATTTATGCTGATAAAATAGTAAAATGCTTGGGAAATGATACTTATTGGTGTTCTTTTCTCAGCACATTAGATAAGCAGGAGGAATCAATTCACATAAAGCTAATGACATTACTTGTAGAAATTTCCTAAGATAATATAGGGTGCAGAGAAGAAATATATAAATTAGTTACTAAGGCCGGTAAGCGCAAATCGAAAGCTATAACTTTAGAAAATTATATATTATCATATAATCTAGAAAATGAGTGTAATTTACTAACCGATTTGCGAAATACATGGCATAGGATAGTTGGTCTAGAAATTACACGCTATCAAACATTATCGAAGCTACGAGGGGATAAAAAAGATAATTCATCTGAAGCAGATATAGACAAGATCATTGAATTATATAGTTAAGTACTCTTAGCAAGGTGTAGCAATTCTGACTAAGAAGACTTACAATAATATTATTTATATATTTTTTCTTGTGCTAACTTCAATTTCTATTTATGATCTGGTCACAAGGTAACCTCTTTCGGCCTCAGTCCTCCAATCACATAGTCTGGCCACGGATATGTCCGGAGATGTAAATCGCTAGTCTGAATATATTGGTTATTTTTTTTCCATATTTTTTTCCCAACTACAATCCATATAATTGCAATTAGAAGTATGGAATATATTATCATTGGCATCATTAAGGAACCCGCAATAGTAGGAGTAGTTGCTAGTAAAGACTCAGCTTCTGCACTACCTACAGAAAATATTTGAGAGGGTGGAGGGTTAATAGTGGAAAGTTGTGGTTCTTTTAGAATCTGTTCACTCTTTTTTTCTTTTGTATTGCTCATAAGAGAAGGCACATGCTCAGCTGATCTTTCTGGGACCGCTTCATTATCTTTCTTTAACACTAAACCTCGAAGGTGAGAATTTTCCTCCATTAAATTTAATTGCAGAGAAGACAATCTATCTAATTTCTGTTTATATATGACATCTGTTGCCTCTATCCCTTTTTCTATACATTCTATTTCGTGTTTTTTTGAATTTAAATCCTCCTTTACCCATCCCAATTCAAGCCTAAGAGAATCAATTTCAGATGAGTTTATTTGGGGTGGCTTTTCTAGTAACCCTCTCACTATATTTGAATCCTGGGATGCACGTGGTAGGGAACCCACTTGTTCTTGTTTCAGGTTTCTCAGCTCGGTTTCTAATTCATCTATCTTAGCTTCAAGAGAAAGAATCTTGATTTTATCAAGGGATGAAGCTTTCTGGGCCAAGATCACTTTTCTCTTTAATGATTTAATTGAAGATTTGAGCGATTTTATTTTGGCAGAATGTTCAGCTTCGAGTTCATTATGGGACATCTGTTCAGAAATAACTTGGGATCTAAGCCTAGTATTGATTACATCTATCTGGCTAATCTTATTTCTAACATTAGCACTAATTTGCTGAAACTCCTTTTCTTGTCCCAAATATTTTGAAATTTCAGCCTGCAACCTTTCATTGAGATCATTAATTTTAGAGTTATATTCGATAGTGGAATTTAATTTTTTTTCGAGCTCTTGCTCATATATGCTACCTAGCCAGTGTCCTCTATCTTTTATATCTTTTAATATATACATTGGACATAATCTCTGCATGGTTATATAGCAGGAAAAAAATATGTTGCAATTTATTTTTTTTTACAAATACTATATATATTGATACGCATTGGTGTATATTGAAATATATTAATATATATTGAAGAATATTAATACACATTAGTAGGCATTGAAATATATTAATACACATTGAAAAATATTGATATATATACATTGATACGCATTGATATTTATTGAAGATTATTAATATTTTTTTCTAGTATATAAAAAAATCTAGTGAATATGGTAGCCCGTATCCATAATACATTTTACGATGCTAAGGCAACCCTATTATCAGAAGCTGATATCAAGGAAATTAGAGAATCCAGGGGTAAAATACCTAATGCATCAAAAAAAATGGCTAGTAAATTCCATATTGGACCTAAGCATGTTTATGAAATATGGGATAATAAAGAATGTCTCCAGCAAGGTGTTATTCCATCTCAGCCTGTTTTGGTTAAGAATTCCCAGACTGGTAAGATAGAACAGATTGAGTCAGATATACATGACCAAAATGCTTCCCCCTTCACAGAACTAGAAAATAAAATATATAATATGAGGGTAGAGCCTAGCAAATCTACTGATTTGACCTCAGAAGAAGGTAAGGCAAAAAAATCTGGAGGAAAAAAATCAAAACCCAAAAATGAGCTAGCTTAATAATACTATCTACTATTCAGTCTCAACCTATGAATTTAAAAGGCTCAGATATAAATAAAGAGAAATTACACGCATTGTATGAGGAGATGGTTGAAAGAAGCAATAAAAATTTAGCAAATATGAAAGTATAACTTTGAAAATAACTAACCTATTTTTAAAGAAGTTTATTATAGCATGTCTGTAGTCTTTCGCAATATTTATTGATTTCTGCATTATACTTGAGAGTGATATATAGCATTTTTTCAAGCTCCTCATAGTTCATAGGTTTTTTTTTAATATATCATTATTCTCACTTAAGTCTTGCAAGTCTTGCGAAATAGACTCTGAAGGGACAAACTTTTCACATTCAGAAGTAATGTTCATGCAATTTACCTCAAGCTTATTTTTGACCTTATGCATGGTTACTGGAATGATATAATCCTTTCTATTATGAGGAAACTTTAATTCGTTTTTACCCCAATTCATAGCACAATTATATTTCTTTAAAAGCTGGTTAGAAAATATTAGAGTTGGCTTGTTATATCTTACAACAACAAAATCTTCATGAATGGTAAGACCGGGGGCTAAAGTAATAGGTAAATCGTGAACCACTCCAATAGATTTAACCGGAACAGTGGCAATACCACTAAGATTGTGTGTTTCAGACTTATCAATTTTAGCCTTTACGCGATCAACAATATTTTCAGTTACTATAGGAGGCTCTGCTCCAGAATCAAGAGTTATAGCAGGAATCTTTAAGCGCTTGATTTTACACTTCACGGTTGCAACGCTTGTGGGTAGCTCCTTCTTCTTGACGAAATCGATTTTCATCAGGCCTTCCAAATAGTCTTCCTTCTCTGGGTCTGGTGATACGATCTCGGCAATTGGAGAAGTATTGCTTTGAGATTTTATCTTTTCCTGGAATAGAGACGCTTGATTTGGTATATTGGCTTTAATAGAGTTTTGAAAGAAATGATCAGGAAAAATTAGTTTAAGTTCATTTTGGAGGATTTTACGAATAGTTTCCTCCAATAAAGTTTTAAGCAACTTTTTAAGGAATGATTTCTTGGAGCTAAAGTTCCGTTTCACTTTTTTTTTAACTTAGCAATATTAATGATGATATCACCTCCAGAATCAGAAGAATCTTCTGAACTTGTATCAGAGTTAGAGCTATCACTAGATGATATATTAGTGGTAGAATCCGAATCTGAGTCTGAATCTACAGTGGCTAGATTAACCTTACCCTTTTTAGACTTCTTGCTTTTCTTTTTCTTCTTTTGAGAGCAGTTTTAGGAATTGTGTCCAGATCTTCTACACTTGGAACATTTGTAACCTGAAGAGGATTTCTTAACAGCACGTTTAATGGCAGTATTTATAACACTATTTAATGTTAATCCTGCTAAACTATCTGAAATATCATCTACAGAATCATGATTATTTTCATCGGCAGGGTGTATATATGGTTTTTTTCTTAGTAAGTTACTTAAAAAACGTATAACGGCAGTATTTTCCACTCTCTTATCAGCCGATTTTTTACTATTATCTAGAGTTTTAGTCACTCAAGACATAGTCTCTTGCAAGGATTTAGCTATGGCTTGTAAATCAGCTTTAGTAATATTTTCCTGACCGGAAGAAAATGCTGGTGATTGATTTAGTGTTAATTGTTGTAATGCCTAAATCCTACTATTTACAATTCTATCAACATCTTCTGTGGTAATACCCTGATAAGAAGGTGCTTTTGGTTTTGTCTTAGTAGCTGGCTGGTTATAAATATCTTTACCCAAAAGCATGTCATTCTTTTCTATTTCAATCTGTTTCAAGGTTTTAATCAAATCATCATTCAAAGATCTGTTTAAACCTAATCGCTTCAATTCTAACTTGTTTTCGGGAGACAAGCTACGTATAAATTGTATTCTTTTTTCACGATCAGATATTTGGGCCCAGCTAGCATATTTATCTATCTTTCTATAGTAATCTCTAACTGAATCGGATCCTTGAGTCAAAGTACTAAAAATTATTTGTTGTTGCTCTCGAACAACTATAGGATAATTTCTTTTAAACCAATAGATGACCTGACTAATATTGATATCAGAGAGGACTATATGGTTATTATTATTTAAAACTCCATTTGGTGCATTAGTTGCTGTACTAGCATTTACAGGACACCCCCCAGCAAGAGACCAATCCTTATCCATATGAACATTATGTGCTGGAATAACTGTGGCGCTAGTAGCTCCACCCGGTAATGCTGGTGGTAGAGTACTATCTGGTGCATTGATCATGGCGGCCGTTATGTTAGCATTATTTAGGGCTACTACGGCCACCATATTTGCTAAAGCATTCCCATATCTTATATGATTCAATCACCATTTTTTACCTATGAGTTTGTTTTTGACCCAACGTGATGCCTCACCTGTCAAGCATGACCGAAATAGTTCTAAAGCTCTCTGTTTGCCGGCCGCATTAGCAGTATTAATATTGGCCGCCGTAAGATAAAGTCTGTAATCTTTTATGAATTTATCTATATCTTCATCTGCTCTATCTGAGAATCTTTTAGGTGTATACCCTGCCATTCCTATTTGTTGTATATTAAGTAGGTTATTCTGTAGCGCAAAAATTTGTTGATTTAAAATTAAAATATTCTGGCACTCTGTATGAGTTTTATTTTTCCATTTCTTATATCACTCATAGAGTCTGTCTCTATTATATTCTAACAAACCTCTATCGGCTCTGCATCATTGTAGGTGGTGGGCATTTCATTGATATAAGATTTGTAAGGCAAATTTTTCCTGTAGTAATACACAAATACGGGTTTGCTTTCCTGTTATATTGTCTAACATTCTGTTTACTTGATTCTGAGTATTAGTCCGCAACTGATCACGCTCCTGCATCGCTTGATTATGCTCCTGCCTGTATATATCACGATTCCATCGTTCGTTTACTAAATCCTGTTGCAGGTTAGCATATTTTTGTCAGATTGATCTTGTTGCCCTCTTAATTTGATTTTTTAAAATAGTTGAACATATTGTTGTATCATCTAGGGAGCAGTCTATAGCATTAGCTAATTCGGCTATTGTACCCATATCTAAATTTTGATCAAAATTATAAATATCTAAAGAATACTCATCAGAGTTGGATTCATTTTCGTTAAAGTTCTGTGCTTCTGCATTTTGCAAAGCTCTCTGGTATTTATAAGCTCCAATCTATCTCTATATCTTAATAAGAATAATGCAAAATTTTGACAAAACAGGTCTGTAATACGGCTTTTTTGTTGAGTTATTTTGTTAATTCTATTTATTTGATTAGTTCTTACTGTATTTATTTCTCATTTAAGCTGTTCATTCTCATCCACTAATCTGGTTGTATAATCTTGTACTTTGGGGTATTGCCTGCAGATTTTGATATCTCCCATATTCAGTTTTTTAATTTTGTCTCACGCTTATCAAATTCTGATATTAATTTATCTTTATTAGAAATTTCTTTGTCTTTCCTTTTATTTTCTTCCTCAAGTTGGTGGACAATCCTTTTTAATTTTGAAATTTCTTCTAATAATTCTTCTTTGTCTTGTCTAGAAAGCTTGATGGTGTTATTTAACTCTTCAAGAAATCGTATTCTCTCTTTCCATATGCCAATAATTCTTTCTAAGATATATAGACGTTTTTTAAAATTCCTATTTGATTCTGCCAATTGAGATACTACCTCATGGAGTTCTTGGTTAGTTTGTAATTCCTCCATATTTTTATTTACTATAATTGAATAAAGTAATGGAGAAGCCAGTTATTTACATCGATCCAGATGAGGCTCAGAGAATCGAAAAAAATATCATATTGTGTGGAATATATTATCACCCGACTAGCTATTATTCCAACCCTAAATCTTTGAGAAATGCATATAAAAAAGAAGGGCATCGATTCTGCCTAAGTGAATATAAAATTTTTTTAGAAAATCAAGAGTCATATCAAATCAATAAAACCTCTCCAAAATACATCCCTAGAGTCAGCCATGGGCGAATAACACGTCTCAACTGTGTACACTAGTGCGATATACTATTTCTCATTCATAATTACTATAGAGGTAAAAAATATAAAGCAATACTTAACATTATAGATTGCGCTTCCTGATATAAGGCTTCAGTTCCACTCATATCGAAGAATAGCTCAGAAGTTGCTAAAGCATTTAGAAAGGTATATAGTACTCGAAATAATCCATTGACCTGGGCCAAAGCTTCTACAATGTGATGGAGGTTATGAATTTATGGGTGAGACTTCCCGTCTAATGCAAGAGCATGATGTTACGATTTGGGTGATTGGCCTATATAGTCATAGAGGACTTGTCTTCGTGGAGCGTTTCAATCAGACCATCTACAAAATATAAATGTCTAGTTGGAAAAGATGAAATAAGATTAAAGAAAAGAGATACTGTCCGCTATCTTCTTGCCAATGCAGAGTGGGAGGGTGGAATGGAGAATCAGAAGCAAGCAACTGATCCCACCTTTAGTCCAAGTCTTCATAAAATCTGAAAAGTGGTTATCATAAAGAATGAACCAGTTTTATATTATCTTGAAGGTGATGAATTTATACCAAAGCGGGGTTTGTTAGAGAAGAACTCATGTTAATAGCCAACCCAAAAAAAGTTGGGTATCCACCCCAAAGCATATTATCTGTACATGTTGCCTATATCATTAATAGAGAGATAGAGGGTCCAACAAAGGACTGGGATCAAGCTATTGATTATGCCAGAAGATGTGGTGGTCAGTGTCTAGGAAGGACTGAGCAGATAAATGGTCATAACATATATCTTTGGTCTTGTGAGAATGGTGCGCATCAGTAGAAGTATCCACTAAAATATATCATAAAAAAATTCGAATGGTATCCTCTATGTCATCACACTAAAGAGCGTAAATGCTGATATATTTTTGAGGATTTGTTATACAAGAAATTCCCGCCATGTAGAGCTAAGTTCTTAGATGGGCTACACTTGGATGGATATAATGAGGAATTGCATCTTGCATTCGAATTCCAGGGTCCTCAACACTATCATCATAATAGTTTCTATTATCGGGAGAATGAAAATCTAAAATCACAAAATATACGTGATCAAAAGAAGCAGGATATATGCAAGGACCAAGATATATGCCTTATCGAAATGCCATACACATGTGACTTTTTGCCTTTCATTAGACATACACTAATTGAGAAAGGGTTCTTGGATAAAGCAAAGCCCAACCTTTGAAAGTTTACATGATTTTGGGCAAATAAGTTCGCTGAAATTTCTCATTTTGATGTGCTTTATATATCGTACTATATGGAATTCTTTGTGTATAATGTTGACGAGATTCCCAGAAAATCTTTGGAGCATCTGAAAGGCAATAAATATTCTCCAGACTGGCCTTTTCGTATGGTAGTCACTGGGGTTTACATAGCAAAAAAACTAATATAGTTATAAACCTTATTCTAGATAATAAACTTCAGCGCATATTTAAAAGCAAGAAGAGGGATAGATATATTAAAAATGATGATCTCATTTTAGTTAGGAAGCATGCCGAGCCAAAATGGAAGCTGGTAAGAAATGCTATCCATATTTTTGCTAATAGTCCTGAGCTATATCAGGAGAATATCTCATTTCAAACAATAAAGGCGGAAAAGATCCCAGATATAAATAAATTCTCCCCTAAAAGAAGTACTGTTATTGTTTTTGAAGATCTCTGTGCCGAATCAAAAAAAATACAAGAGCGAATTGTTTTTTACTTTATTAGTGGTCAGCATCAAAACATCTCGCCAATATATATAACTCAGAAATATCAGGCCATACCAAAGATAATTCGTGAAAATATCTCACACCTAGTCATGTTCCGAGGAAGTGGAAGTAGGGACGATATCTATAAAGTCGTGCATCAATATACGGATAATCTAAAAAAGGCATCCAAAATTATTGACAAGCATCTGCGGAATCGAAATTTCATAGTTTTTGCCTTTACTAAAGCGATAGATGATCCATTAGTGATTAGACTAGGTTGGGATACTTCTTTGAAATTAGAAAAATAAAATCTAAAAATTAGTGAATCTTTGTTCACAATGAAAAAATTATCCTTAAATGACGCTTGTATTATTGCCAAATCTCATGGTGGAATATGTCTTTCAACTGAATATAAAGATAATAAAACCCATTATTATAGCGCTGTTCTAAGAATCATACATGGTGTGCCCTACTTCGTAGAGTTAAAAATTGTAGAACATGGTATTCACACTGCGCAGGTAATGTAAAACATACTTTCGAAGATATCAAAAAAATCAGACAACTGATTTTATTATTGTTAAAAATATAAAACAAGAGAGGGTCGTAGGCATTAGGAATGGTAAAAAAACGTTTTAAACTGTTTTTTAAATGTTTTTTATTGTTTTAAAACTTTTTTTAAAACATCGGCGTCTGGCAATGAATTTTAGCTAAAGCTAAAAATATTGCTTCTGGTTGGTTAATTTTAGTTTCAGCTATTTGATCGGAAAAAGCCAATGCATTATTTTTTATATAATTTCGAATTTATTACGAATATTACATATAAAAAAAAATTGAAAAATTATAAGAAATATATTTGATCGCTTTAAGCTTTTTTTTTTTTTTTATCAATGCTTTATATAAATTATTGATTTGCCTATAGACTAAATACAACTTTTCAGTTTTACATTTAAGTCTATATATGTCTTGCAAAATATTACCGCTATATAAACCTCACTGAATAAGTTTTTAGGAATGAATTATTTGAAGATTAGAAAGATTACAATATGTTTTCTATTTTAATTATCATTATTGTCATCATCATCGTCAAACCAGTTATTATCCTTAATTTCTTTTCAGATTCTCAAATTCTGGTATACAGTCACAAGTTTTTTTACATGATTATTGTCTAAACGTGTATGGTATTTATTGTGAATAAACTCAAAGTCTGACCAACAATGCTCTGCGGCAGCTGAAGAAGCTGGAATTGTAAGAACTTGGCAGGCAAGTTCAACTATGGCTGGAAATTTATTTGAAAAATTAGATCGCCACCAACTAACTGGACTTGAATACTCAATGGATGCCCACAATAATGACCTAGAGAATTCATCAGTTTTAGTGATATATTTTTGAATCACTCTAAAAATCTTTAGAATAATTAGATAATTAGATATTTAATAATTTAAATGTATTTGTGATATCATACTTATTATACTTACATGCGCGGCAATTTCAAATTCATAAACATTTTCAAGATACGGGATAATAACTTTTTCAAGATCGTTTGGCCTTAGTGATTTTCCATGGATCCTAAATATAAATTTATTAATGTTAA